TATTTGTACTTTAGTCCCCGAACTTTAGATCTCTTACAATTTAGCCATTTCCTTTCCAACTTTTGTTTATTTTCTTCAATCTCATCAACCTACATCACAACATCAAAACACACATAAAAACACTCTAAAACTCTCTCAAGGATGACAAAATAACGAATTAAGTGACATAAATATCATGAGTGTAGAACACTCATCAAGTGGATATAGAGATAGTTGAATTCTATTGACTTTGAAAGTCGAACACATTTCAAGGTCAACAGGGTTAGAGAGCCACTTGGAGGCCAGACTGGGCACTCTTTGCCTGGGTTTTAAATTGTGTACAAAGTAATATTTTAAGTATTATAATTAGATTATATTTGTTTAATTAATTAATATGTAAATGTGTTACAATAGTTTATGACTGATTTACTTCAAAAATTGATAGTTGTGCTCCAAGGATGTTGTGTTGGGATGTGTCTATTGCATCCAACACGAAGCACGAGCACGTCAGTATCATGAGAAAGGCCCAGACGGCGAGAAAACTCCTCCAACATGGGAACGAGTTCAAAGCCATCAAAACGGAAGCAAACCGAATCCCTGTTCGAAGCACTTAAATGGCTATAATATGTTGCATACATACGTACAAATCATAATTGTAAATGGTTAAAAATTAGTTTTTTAAAGAATGGAGCTCAGACATTGGCTAAAAATGTTCAAAAGATATATTGAGTTTTATGTTGTAAGTTTACCTTATTTTTCAAAAATATTTTTTAAAAAATACATGACCAAATAAATTTTGAGCATTTTACAAAATTGAAAACTAAAAATAAGTTGAAAGCGGTGAAACAAACCCGAGTAAAAAGTTTCATTAGTCACTGAACTTATCACACCATCACGTTATAGTCACTGAACTTTATTTTGATTCTGAATGGTCACTGAACTTACAAACCCGCCACTCTATCCATCACTCAACAAGCCAGCTGTTTGAAGATGTCCCATGTGGCGTGACGAAACTCCATATGGCAACGGACGGCGTCAACGGTGACCACGGTGGACGGAGTAAAAAGTTTCATTAGTCACTGAACTTATCACACCGTCATGTTATAGTCACTGAACTTTCTTTTGCTATTGAACGGTCACTGAACTTCGACACATCTTGTGTCATGCATGCCTATTACCTTCTCCCATACAACGCATAGCGGTGTACATGCAAATCCGAACGTGATAAATAGCATGCATGGTGAACAAACCGATCAGTTTTAGTCGAGTTAACCAAGAACATATGAAAAGAAGCCATTGTATAGACCTGGAGAATGAGCATGAGGATAACAGCTGCATCACGCCAACTGTTCTTAGGTGGAGCCATTGGAGTGCTTGAGAAGCTGATCGCCGAATGCCCAGTAAACGGCAGAAGCTGATGGTATAGTTAGGGTGAAAATATATAATGTGGCAAATAAGTAAATGTACTTGAACTTTTGGGGTTTCCACATTGCATGCATTATTTCCCTGTAGAATTTTTCATCAGAAGCCATTGGTCAGCTAGGAACGTGAATACTTTAAATGCAATGATATTCTAAAAAAAAAAGGTGAAATTCTAGAAGATCTGGAACATAAAAAGACACTGTAAATGAGAATATGGAATGAACCAAGTTAGCCTCTACCCCTTTCCCTCATCCTCCCAGAAAACGGAAGTCTAGAATTCTCAAATCCATCGCAAAAGAAATAAAAAAAATCAAGAAAAAATTATAGAAAAAAAGCACAAAAAGTGGAGATAACAAAAAACCCAATTTTCACTTTCTAATATACCTTCTTTTGACAAGTCTCTTTCTTGAACCTAGATCTCAGATTATATATATATTTAAAAAAAAAAACTCCCAATTTGATTAGTGAATACGAATATGCCACTCTAGAGCTAGAAAGCAACAAGAGGCAATGGTTTAATATTTCTTCATTCCAAGAATTGACAGTGGATAGAAACAGTGAAAGAAAATGAGAGTGGGGATGGAGCCTTTAATGCAGCCAGCTACAAAATCTCAACAACCACAACTAAGCTCACTTAAATGCAGTTGAACAATATCTCTACCATCAAAATTTGCTGCAACTGCCGCAGCACAAAAGCAATAGAGACCTTAAAAACAGCAAAGTTTAAGGATGCGCAGTTTATAGTAAGTATTGCAAAGAAATAGAGAGAAGTTGTTAGCTTCAAGAACCATGTCATTCAGGTTTGTACTTGTTTGCATGGGGCAAAATGGTGGCCACAAGAGGGAAGTGATCATTGAGCCAAGACATGCATTAAAAAGATCAATGAGGGAAGTGACTAATGAAACTTTTTACTATTCAGTGACCGTTCAGCTAAAGAAAGTTCAGTGACTATAACGCGACGGTGTGATAAGTTCAGTGACTAATGAAACTTTTTACTCCGTCCACCGTAGTCACCGTTGACGCCGTCCGTTGCCATATGGAGTTCCGTCACGCCACATGGGACATCTTCAAACGGCTTGCTTGCTGAGTGATGGATAGAGTGGCGGGTTTGTAAGTTTAGTGACCATTCAGAATCAAAATAAAGTTCAGTGACTATAACGCGACGGTGTGATAAGTTGAATTGAAACTTTTTACTCAAACAAACACACACTAATTGTAAGTTAACTTATTGGGTGAGTTCGGCCACTCGTTGATAGGCAACTACATAAGCCGTACAAAACAGAGACAGAGATACAACCCAACACTCTCCGCCTCAAAGTGCCGCTGTGTGTTCATTCAATTACTCAATCCCCCTATAATTTGCCTCTTGATCGATCAAATAGAGAATAGAGAAAATGAGTGGAGCAGGAAAGAAGATTGCAGATGTGGCATTCAAGGCTGGAAAGACGATCGATTGGGAAGGGATGGCGAAGCTTCTCGTTTCCGATGAGGCCCGCAAGGAGTTCGCCACCCTCCGCCGCGCATTCGATGAAGTCAACACCCAGCTGCAGACCAAGTTCAGCCAGGTCCCCAAATTTCTTTCCTCTCTCCTTATGGATGTTGAATTAATTTCGTGTATTTGTATGAATGAATCAATTGGGAATTTTTTTTCGGCTGGGTATGGTACAGATCTAAGGGATTTGTAGCTTTTTGTAGATTTTGTTCGATGCACTGAGCTAATTATAATTTTTTTTCTGTTTCCACATCACATTTCAGTGCCTTCAATGATGTCTGGCTGAGTCGTGAAGGAAATGAATGAAAATGTTTATTTGTCGAGGGATAGAGTTCTACTTTCTTTTTTCAATACTTAGAGGTCATGTTCTTATGTTTGTTTCCCTAGCTTTTCATAAGCCAGATGGATCCTGTGCAAATTCGTAATCTCAATTTTGAATTAGAATATGCAAAAAATAAAAATAAAAAATTATCAACGTGTTTGTATTTTTTACATTTTAATTTGTTATTTCAAGTATATACAATAGTGTGTTTTCTGAGTGGCGGTCCAAAGCAATGTTTGAAAAGGCACAATAGGCATTGAGAGGCAAGCATAAGACACAAGGCGTTTTGAGGCTTATGAAAACCAATAAACTAACTCTGAAGAATCGAAAAATAGGAAAATTTGTTCTTAATAAACTATAAGCTATCTTAAAATTTCATAATATAAATCATCAACATTTGATTCCCTGTCGTCTTCTTCATCATGGTTAGTTTTTTGTCATTCTGTTACCGTCTTCCACTTGCTTCAGTATCTTCTCCTTTTCCCTCCTTTAGGGGTAAAGACAAAAGGAAAAGAACCCACAAAAGATTATAGGTTATAGAATAATATCGCAGAAGGCTAAAGCAATAATAAACTACACAGAAAATTCAAGACAAATGGACGAACGTGTTAGTCACTCTGAGACATAAGCCTGAAAGGGCATGAAACGGCACTCAAGGCATAAGTCTTAAACAGCTCTTTTAAGTAATGGTCCAAAGTCACGACTTGGCATGAAATTATTTCTGGATGAATTGCTTTTGGCGTTTAGATTGTTGTTGTCTGAATGATGAAAGAAAAAACAAGTGGAAGCATGGGTGTCATTGGCACCCATAGAAGCAATCTGGTTATATGTCAAAACTAGAAATTGTAACAGTATTGGCATGGGAAATGGAGAAGAAATTGAATGAGATGGTCTGAAGGATATTTATTATTGAAGAAACAAGTGCTTCTATTGAGATAAAGAATTAATTACACAAAACCTACTTCAACCTATTAATATATTACATGAGGTGGCTATGGAAAGGAAAAGTGAATCTGCTAACTAGGGAAAGAAAATTACAAGTCTCCAATTAACTAAAAATAATAATCTTAATTGATACAGTTTCCTACACCCCCCCCAAGTTGAACGGTAGATGTTGATCATGTTCAACTTGCAGTTGAGGTCATTGAAGGTTTGTCGAGGCAGTCCTTTTGTGAAAATATCCGCAGTTTGTTCCTTTGTAGGAATATAAGTCATGCAAATAATTCCATCGTCCACTTTCTCTTTAATGAAGTGTCCGTCCACTTCTACATATTTGGTTCTGTCATGTTGTACTGGATTGAGAGAAATGCTGATGGCTGCTTTCTTATCGCAATAAAGCTTGATTGGATATTCTATGTCCATTTTCAGTCCTCTAAAAGTTTCTTTATCCATAATCCTTCACATATCCCTTGTGCAACTACTCTAAATTCAGCCTCAGCGCTACTTCTTTCTACTATATTCTATTTTTTACTTCTCCAAGTTTCCCCAAACAAAGGTACAGTAGCGAGTAGTGGATCTTCTATCTTCAATTGATCCAACCCGGTCTGCGTCAGTGAATACTTCAACCATTTTTCCTTTATTCTTTTCGAAGAATAACCCTTTCCCTGATGTGCCTTTTAGATATCGTAAGATTTTATAAACAGCTTCTAGGTGAGCCTCTTTAGGTGCATGCATATGTTGACTTACTTTGCTTACTGCAAAGGCAATGTCAGGTCTAGTATGTGAGAGATAGATTAGCTTACCAACTAATTTTTTACATCTGTCCATTTCCATAGGTTTTCCTACATCTTTTATTTTTGTTGTTTCAAGAGGAGCATCGCTTGGTTTGCATCCCAGCATGCCAATTTCAGTCAAAAGATCAATAACGTATTTTCGTTGTGAGACACTAATGCCTTTCTTTGATCTTGCAATCTCCATTCCCAAAAAGTACCGCATTTGTCCCGGATCATTTATCTTAAATTCGGTGGCCAAACACTTTTTTAATCTTTCCATCTCCTCTAGGTTATCCCCTATTAGAATTATGTTATCTACATAGACAATTAAAATTGTCTTCGCACCATCACTAGATTGTTGGAAGAACATAGTATGATCAGACTGCCCTTGCTGATATCCTTGAGTTTTCAAAACCTTTGCAAATCGATCAAACCATACTCTGGGTGACTGTTTGAGACCATATAGAGACTTCTTGAGTTTGCACACTTGATCTTCGTCATTACCTTTGTTAAAACCAGGTGGTATTGTCATGTAGACCTCTTCTTCCAATTTCCCATTCAAGAATGCATTTTTAATGTCTAGTTGTTGGAGGGGCCAGTCGAGATTCACTGCTAAGGAAATGAGAACTCGAACTGTATTTAGTTTTGCCACTAGTGCAATGTCTCTGTGTAATCAATGCCGTATGTTTAAGAATACCCTTTGGCGACTAGACGAGATTTGTAGCGTTCTATTTCTCCATTGGCCTTATACTTCACATTGAAGACCCATTTGCATCCTATTGGTTTCTTTCCCTTTGGTAGTCTTACAACTTCCCAAGTCCCATTTTTCTTTAAAGCTTTCATTTCTTCCATTACTGCCTCTTGCCATGTTGGTAATTCTAGGGCCTCCTAGATATTTCTCGGAATGTCTGTTTTATCCAGATTAGCTGTATGAGCACGAAATCTTGCAGATAGAGTATTATAGGACATAAATTTTGAGGTAGAATGAAGAGTACATGACCTAGTTTGTTTTCTAAGAGCAATGGGTAGATCATTATCTGGAGATGTGATTTTACTGAGGTTCTAATCAGGTCCTACCACCGGTTCCAACTCTTTTGGTGCCTCAGGTGTGAGGGTTTCCTTATACTTTGATTTAGGCTTTCTTGAGTAAACTAGAATCTCCTTGTCGCTTTCTTTTCCAACATCCCCCCCCCCCGAAATCAAGTTTTCCTTTGTATATGGCATATTAGAAGGTAAGGTGACGGGTTTTGGATATGGGTCAGAAGGAGATAGATTAACGTCTAAATATTCATGTTCCTGTTCCAAGAACCGATCTTTACTTAGAATCTCCCCTTGAAGATAAGGTTTTTGGAAGTAAGGTGTGTTTTCGAAGAAGGTGACATCAAGATTGACAAAGAGTTTGTTGGTTGATGGATCATAACATTTATAGCCTTTTTGAGTTGGTGAGTACTCAATGAAGACACACTTGATTGCACGTGGCTCGAGTTTGTTCCGATGATGAGAGTGCATGTGTACAAAAGCAGTACTACCAAGTACCTTGAGAGGTAGGTTTGAGTGAAGATGAGAAGTCGGGAAATGTTTGTGGAATCTCTGTATAGGTGAGTCAAATGAGAGAGTACGAGTAGGCATGCGGTTGATGAGGTATGTAGATGTCAGAATGGCATCTCCCCAAAATTTTTTTAGCATGTTTGCAGTGAACATTAAGGTACGAGCAACTTCGAGTAAATGTCTATTTTTGCGTTCAGCAATCCCATCTTGTTGAGGTGTGTTGACATAAGAACTTTGGTGGACGATTCCATGTTTTGTTAGGTAGTCTTGCAAAGTGTTATTGAAGTATTATGTGTCGTTATCAGTTCGTAGAATTTTAAGTTGTGTTTGGAATTGGGTTTTAATCATAGAATGAAAATTTATAAGTAGAACATCGATTTTTCCTTTAGTAGGTAAACCCAACAAACGCGAGTGTGATCGTCAATGAATGTGACAAACTATTTTGTGGGAGTACGATTAGGGGTAGGGGAAGGTCCCCATAAATCACTGTGAATCATGGCGAATGGTGTAGATGGTTTATACGTGGACTTTGGAAAGGGTGTACGCTGATGTTTTGCAAATTCACAACTTTGACATTGGAAATCAATAGAAGTTTTAGAAGTACCCGTTTCAAGTATGGAAAACTAGGATGACCCATTCTATTATACCATAACAAAAGTTCACTATCTCTAGTAATAGATGCAGAATTACAGTTATTAAGTTGACCTAGTGTACTCACATAAGCTTCATCGAAGTAATACAGTCCTTCACATTCTTTAGCACTATCAATCGTCTTCCTCGATGAAAGGTCCTGAAATACACAATGAGATGGAAAGAAATTAGCAGAGCAATTGGAAGTTTTGGTTAGTTGACTAATAGATAGCAAGTTGTAGGATAAATTTGGGACGTGAAGGACATTATCAAGTGTTATAGACTCAGAAATTTGGATACTCCCTTTCCTGTGACTGAAGAGAGTGAGCCATCTGCAATTTTCACCTTAATATTTCCAGCGCAAGTTGAGTATGATGAAAATAATTGATATGAATCCGTCATGTGATCAGATGCACCCGAGTCAACAATCCAAGAGGTTTTAAATTTTGACGTGCTTAAGGCTTGCATGAAATTACCTTTATGAGCTAAGGAACTGGAAGGACTTTTGGTAGAAGACTGACTAGATGTTTGAAGGCTAGCGAATATTTGATATAGTTGTTCCATTTGTTCGGAATTGAATGCACTACTCGAACCAGAATTTACCGTATCAGTCTGGTATCCTCGACTTCGAGTATTTTGTCTTGATTCCAATCGGTGGGTTTTTCATGAAGTTCCCAACATGCGTCTTCTTTGTGTCCTGGCCTGCGGCAATGTTCGCACCATAGTCGTCCTCGTTGTTTTTGAGTTGGCCCATTTGTAGACCTTTTTAAAGAAAAGCCCAATCCACCATCACCATTTGATTTTTGAAAAATAGGTTCCAGGCTTATGGTTGATTTTTCCAGGCCCACTGTTGTTTTTATGTTACTCGGACCAGGCCACCTGATTTAGGCCCAATAAGCCTTTTAAAGTCTGGTCCACAATTCTAGCATTGAGGGCCGACATCTCTCCACCTCCAGAAGCTCCTATTCCACCCCCAGAAGCTCCGATCGTCTCCTTCATCATTACCAGTCGCCGTGCTTCCTCCCGGCGAACTTCCGCAAACACCTCTCGAGGCAGCGGCAGTGGTCGTCGACCCAAAATCCGGCCTCTAACATCGTCTAATTCACGGTTCAGCCCTGCAAGAAACTCATATACCCGTTCATTCTCCTGCTTCTTTTTGTACAGAGAACAATCTTCCGGGCACTTCCATTCTTCTTCTTCACTCAGATCGAGTTCTTGCCAAAGATTCACCATTTCCATGTAATAATCAGTCACGTCTCTGGGTCCTTGTCGAGTTTGCCACAATCGAGCCTTAATTTCGAATATATGTGATGAATCTTCAGAATCAGAGTAAGTTTCTTTCGCCGAATCCTAGACTTCCTTTGCAATCGGGAGGAATAGGTATGTTTTCCCAATCGCCGGCTTCATGGAATTCGCTAACCAGGCATGCGCCATTGAATTTTCGGACTTCCACTTCTATAATAAGGCAGCATCCGTTGACCTCTTGGTTTCGCCGGTAAGATAGCCTAGCTTCCCTTTTCCGTCAATTACTAGTTTTATGCATTGAGCCCATTCGCGGTAGATTCTTCAATTCAACTTTTCCATGGTGTGTTGGAAGGAAGAGGATTCAATTCCGTGAAAGCCAATTAAATGACTGATCTCCGTTTCGAAATTGGATGTTTCGGAGGTCGTCGACTCCCTACTGTTGGCGGGGAAATCCGCCATTGTTTGCTAGGTTTAGATGCCTAGCTCTGATACCATGAAGAAACGAGTGTTTCTATTGAGATAAAGAATTAATTACATAAAACCTACTTCATCCTATTTATATATTACACGAGGTGGCTATGGAAAGGAAAAGTGAATCTGCTAACTAAGGAAAGAAAATTACAAGTCTCCAATTAAGTAAAAATAATAATCTTAATTGATACAGTTTCCTACAATTATTAACAATGTATCATCATGTGAAACATTCTGAGCCCCAGAGGAAAGAATGTGTTTGTGGTCAATGATTTCCTTGTGTCTAAATAACTTAATTTCTCATATTACCTGCTATCAGCTTAACTAAAAGGGTTTTATCCTCCAGTATGTTTTCATATATTGATGATCCAATTTAAATGACTTATATTTTAGAACAGTCATGTCTTGGCAGTGGTTTCTAAACTGTGCAGTGGTGCCAAGTTCTTCTATCTTTTTGAAAGACCAGTAGAACGGATACTCTTAATATTGGATTTCTTCAGTTGATCTTAAGTCTCTTAAATCTTGCAGGAACCAGAACCCATTGACTGGGAGTATTACAGAAAAGGGATTGGCTCTCGCTTGGTTGATATTTATAAGCAAGCATATGATGGTATGTGCCATATATTGCTTTTGGTTTTTTATTACACCAAAATCTGGCAAATCTCTTCCTGAACAGGGTGGTTGTGTCCTCTCTTCAAGACTATTTTCTTTATGTGATGTTCTCTCACTTCAATGTTAAAACTAATAAGATGGGCGTATTCACTGAGAGAGAACATTATGGATGGTTATCTTTTGGTCAAATAGTTGATTTTGTTTCTTAGACTAAGGTGGTATTTTATATCAAAATTCTCAAATAAGTGTAAATGCTTATTATTTAGCATGTTTAATAAGATTTAAGCACTAGCAATTAAAACAATGGTGTTCATTTAATCTAAGCCGTACTAGACAATTCAACATTCATTTTTCTTTATTTTTATCAAACCCCCCCTATATAACACTGTCACCAACATGCATGTCGAATTTGAACCAATAAACGTAACTGGGCAAAAGATGCCAACAAATATATATGTTCTCATCTCATGGTGAGATATATGATACCTTTGTCTAAATATATTGGTATCATCCGCAGGAATATGATTTATACTTCTGTTATAATAAGCTTGCAATACCTTTCCCGTGAATGTATTATTGCCCTGAAATGCTAAATTCATGGTACTGTCTATATGATAGCTCTTGAGCATCTGCTAATATATATATAGTTTGATGCTTGGGAGATTCTTGACCATGAGTTCAAGTACTCTATTGATTGCAAAAACTAATTCCAGCATGGAGTATGGGTTATATTAATCCATGCAGAGTAGTTTCTTTATTTAAGAAATACGATTCACTATGATTTCATTTAAATCCTACTATTTAATTACATTTTGTAATGAAATTGTCAAATGCTAGTATGACTTCTCCATTGTTTTAAAATTGGCTGTAAAAATAGGATTGGTTATCAATTAGCACTTTGTTTAAATTTCCTATTGCATGTGCTCTGGTTTGTGGTAGTTTAGTAACATACTGATTTTTCAGATAGGGAACATTAAACCACGGCTTACCAACCTTAACTGCTAGAGCATCTAGGTTCCAAAGCTACAAAAGAGAGCGCATGGGTTTCCAATCTTTACAATGCCGTGCTTTTATGTCCTCAATAGACAGTAACTGTTCATTTGACTGTTACTAAGCCATAATCTGTGCTAAAAAAGACCTCTATAACTTTACTTTAAATTAAATAAAAGGAAAAGAAAGCCCCATTCCCTGCCCAACAGCCACAAACACAATGGTAACCGCCAGCCATCACCAACAGAGCAACCACTTACTGTCTCCAACACCAGTCACCAGCAGCAATACCCAAACTCACAAATCTCGCACAATTCTCGAACACCTAATCTATACATTAGGTCGGAGGTTTACATGATGCCGGTGATGGTATTATAACGCTTCAAAGGCTGTGCAACCCATTTTTGAACTCTAGTCGGCAGATTTAAAGAAACCAACAGAACTTTGACGCGTAAATGTAATCAGCAACCCAACCCATAAAATTGTTTTATGAATATAGGAAGGTTCACGATTCTAATACGAGATTACCACCTGTAATCATATACTTGTATATATGTAATGGATATGGAGACCAGGTTATCCATTTATAGCATGTTTGGCTAAAGTTAATGACGATGGACGCAGTCGAACAAGAACTAGAATTGTAGAAGAAGAGAAGAGAAACAGGAAGAGAAGAAAGGGGAGAAGAGATGAGAGGGAGACAAAAGAGATATTGAAATAGGGAATTGAAAGTGTTCTCAGTTTGTTTCAGGACACAATGCAGCCAGCATTTTATTCTGAGTTAAATTTTTGGAACTTGGACCTTCAGACAATCTGTATGTATATATTGATTGTTTGTCATTGTCTGTTACTTTAAAAACTAGCGTATAAGATGTCATCATGAAGTAGAAGCCCCAGAACAGCCTCAGATGCGAGATACTCTTTTCATATTATTGCATGGCTGCATCTATTTAATTTTTAATGGTCAACTTTGTTTGAGGATAGATTCTAATTGAGCTAGTAATAAATTTGAAATTTAAATCAGTAATGCTGCGGTCCATTTTGAAAAATTGGGCTCAATCGTGATGTATAATTGAGAGCAATAATGTGCTTGGGGAGATGATACGGGGAATTTACTGTCTCAAATTTTAGCATTTAGAACAACTCTTCAGAATCTCTAGTTTAGCTTCTGATCAATGCATGATAAAAGTGTTTTAGGTAGTTTTTGTTTGGGAGAAGTTATCCTGGTCCTAATTAAATGACCTTGACCCCTAGTTTATTCACCCAGAAGTGATTCCATTATTGACAATGGGAAATGTTTCAGAAAAGCTCTGGGATTGAATTGGAAAAGGAACGTGTGTTACATTTTTATGGCAAAAATGAAGTGTATAATGTCTAATGTACCTATGTTAAGAAATTTTTTGCTTGATGTTCAACATGCAAACACACTCGCGCACACTCAAATTGGAGGCCGAAATGACTATACCAGACAATAAGGTTGTGAAGATGCTTCCTTTTATAATAAATTTTAAGCATGCATTTGTTGTCAGAAATGGTGGAAAACACATAAATCTGTATATTAGTTGTTGGTCAGTAATTTTTTCTTTTGAACGCGATATAAGCTGACCCTTTCGAGTTAACTCCACTGGGTTGAGTCGACAATTCATGCACGCGTATTGGACATATTGCTCTTCTTTTGTTCCTCTTATTTTTCTTACGTTTCCTTGTATACACACAAAAACTTGTAACTCGGATGCCTAAAATCCGAAGGGCTGAGAAAGTTGTTGCCAGGAGTAGCAAAAAGGCTGAGAACAAAGGAAGGAGCAACTTTCCAGGGGCAATTTTGGGTTATGTATCGTTCATTAATGAATGGCTTCTTTTAAGAAATTTTGTTCGAACTCTTGCATTACTGTTCAGATTTTCAAGCTTCTAGATAAATTTCTGCTGCTGTTTGGAACCTGATTGCACTTCTCTGTTTGACATTCTGGACTGAAGTGGTACTATCTGATAAATCATTTCTTGCTTTGCAGAGGTTAAAATCCCCCAATACGTAGACAATGTCACTCCTCAGTACAAGCCCAAGTTTGATGCTCTGGTGAGGAGAATTAGGAATATAATCTATAATTGCAGCTTTGGGATAATATGTGCAATGTTTGGGAAATTTCTTTTTTTCTCCTCTTTCTGTGCCCCACATACTGATAAATTCATTTGAATAATTGAATATGTTGACAACTGCCTGGGGAAGTGGAAAAATTTAGATGTTAATACTTGCTGGGCTTATAGCTAAACAAGCATTTTCGAGTAAAAAAAGCTGAAGTATTTGTCAAGTGGGGGTTTTTTTAAGGATCCTGAAATACTAACACTATTCTTGGAAGAACATTTAGATTTGCTCTTGAAAGTTATATGATTTTCCTTTCCCCAAATCACTGCATGATCACAATATTCGAAGTACATTATATGAAAACTGCTAGACGGAGAATTCAACCCTTGATGCAAATATGAAAAAAAAATGGGAGGGCATTTTCGATAATTGTAGACAATCAGCGTACAATGTTGATTAATGTTACCCTCTCAAACTGGTGCAACTGAAGATATTCCCACATGGGTGCAGTTGCATTTCTTCATTTGCAATTCTCCTTTATTCTTAAATTTTCTTGTCTCGAGTTACAGTTGATAGAGCTTAAAGAGGCTGAGCAGAAGTCACTTAAGGAATCTGAAAGATTAGAAAAAGAAATTGCAGATGTCCAAGAGTTGAAGGTGATGCATTCACGTTTTATTTGAAAGTATAAATACACACCGCACCCACCCCACCCCACCCCANTATAAATTCCCACCCCACCCCATCCCATCTCTCTCTGGATTTTTCATTCGATTTCGGTGCAACAGATGAAGCTTAGTACGATGACAGCTGATGAATACTTTGAGAAGCATCCTGAACTAAAGAAGAAGTTTGATGATGAAATCCGAAATGATTATTGGGGCTATTAGTTTGAGCTTCACATCTTGCAGGTGAACCTCTTCGAGTTCAACTGCATTTGAGGAATAAAAGAGAAAACCTAATTTGTTTTGTTGTTTCAATATTGGGTACTCTGAAGATTTGAAGTACAGTACATTATTGCATAATTTGGAAATCACCCTTCCAGTTGAGGATTAAAATGAATAGTCTGTCTTGAATTTTCTCTTCGTGATCCTTGTCTTTGACCGTTCTCCAGCTCTTTGCTTCCAACAAAAATGTTATTGATTGGGCGACGCACGTCTATTTGTTGAGGTGATTTCGTGATGTCTGCAAAAATGGTTCTCAAAAACTACGAGTTTGTTTGGCTTACCTTGAAAATTTTAGGAAATTTACAAACAACATTTGTGTATAAAGTTGATACCCTTTACGCATTATAATTTGGGAATATATTACTGTGTTGTGTGACTTCTACTGCTTTTACTACCTCTCCCACTAATTGAGGACAGAATTCATAACTATCTAATGGTAGGAGAATGTTTCTTGGGCATTTTTAGCATTAGGATGAATTTAAAGTCTTAATAGCGCAGAAAGTTTTCAGCACCGGGATGAATTCAGTCTTGGCAATTCAGGAAAAAAAAAAGGTTCATTGAATTATGAGCGGACTTGAACCATTATGGCAAGGAAAAGTTTGATGCAGAGGAAGAAGAGGCAAAAATTGAAACAAAATTATCATTTGATTTGTCGATCCTCAAAAAAAGAAATAGTAAAAAAAGATCTCTTTTTAGCAATTCTATTCTTTCGAGTTTGTTTAGTTCCTATTCTCTTTTCTCAAAAAAGGGGGACATTACCAAAGTAAAAATTTAATCGGTGGATAGATCGAAATTATGGGGAGTAATTAATTGTTTCTACCAATTTAAATCCCCAATTTGAATTCCTTTTAGGCCCCATTGGATAATTTATAGAATCTCTATTACTAGTCATTTGCGTATTTTGGTCTTCTTAGTCATCCACTCATTTTTGTTAACATTCCATTATGATTAGTAAAAACTCCATATAGTTGATCTTTTGAACCCGCTTCAAGCCATGATGCCTAATCAACCAATCTTGAGGTAAACAGTATTGGCTCCTTTGTTTCATTCATTTGACTATATGGTTTAGTTCATCAACCTGAATGTTAAATAAAACAATTATATATATATATATATATATATATAGAAAGAAAAGAAATGTGGAAATTTTATGTCTCACAAAATGACACAGAGAGATATTGATAATACACAGAGTTAATGGTATTTCATAATTAATTGATTGGGCAAGAGCTCTTAAATCACCTAAAAAAGAATATTTATTATTTGGCCAGTCGTGTATTTTTCAAAAAAAGATGTTTATTATAAAAAATAATATTTTATTTTTTAGTTTTACAATTGCGAATAAAATTGTTTTAAACTTTTACAATTTCTATTGATATTACCGTCTTTGCTGTGACGTGGAGGGGGAGAGAGTCATTTTTTATAAGAATTTTTTTCCCACTTAACTTTTTTTATTCATTTTTTTTGACATATATTAATCCATCTAATTTAGTTTGCAATTACATTCACGTTACGATTTTCACAGTTGAGTCAAAAAGGAAGAGAGAGAGGTCACATTTCACGCCTCTCTAGTCACATAACACTAATCACATTGAATCGCTGTCGAGGAAGAGATGTACGCCAAATTCAATCCATTTTTTATGTATCTGTCACGATCTTAGTGAGAAAACGAAGTCACGAAAACACATATATCACATCACATAGGATATATACATGGATCAAAATATAATTTGCACAAATAGAGACATCGACAGATGTATTAGAAGTCATCAATACATTTTACACCAATGATATACGAGATCATACAATGAAGATCACAAAGTTTGACATTTCCATTCCCTAGTCACATGGATAGTCGTATTCAAAATCACAACATATGCTAAAGCATTATCCGTGTTTTCCTATATTGGTTTTGCTGAAATTTAGTTTGGAACATGGTATATCACGTTTTGTCTTTGTATATCCATCAATTTCGATCACAATCCGTATCTTGTTTAAATTAATTGTTATTGTTTTTTAGAAAAATTGTGAATTATGACCCGATTTCTTTCTCAAAATTTTGATATTTGTAAAAATGTGAACTTAAGGATACTTGTAAAAATGTAAAACAGGGGCTAAGCCCCTGTTTGTTTGGCATTAAACCACACATTGTAGAGAAATTATGACCATTGGCAGCCCACCTTTTTTGACAACCATCTCACGGCGTGGGACCCACAATTTGAAAATAACGGTTGAATTTCTCATTTTATGAGGTGAATAATGCCCGCCAAACAAACAGGGGCTTAAATGATGGTAATTGCGAATTATTCTTATTTGGGAAGATTTTATAAAAGATTTAATTTATAAATAGATAGAGGTGAATGGTTGATAAGTGGAAAATAAGTGTGAATTCATTGAAATTTATGATTGAACTTTTGACAATTTATAAATTTTATCAAATTGAGGCTTCATTTACTGTTTAAATTTTAAACTGTGTGCTGAGTTCTTTATTCGCTGAGCGTTTTGGGCAAAATCTGCCTTGGGTTAAATTTTTTAAAAATTAATTTTGTAACTTAATATTTTTATTATTCAATAAATAATTGGTATTCTGAATTAAATACTCTATTCGTCCCATAAAGATAAATTTGCTTTTCTTTTCGTCTATTCTAAATTATGACCACTTTCTTTATTGAGAGATGATTTTTTTTTCTAATATTCTCATATTTAATGCATATTGTTATCAATAAATATGACATAATCCTATTTAAAAATTATTTAATGTAGGGTTGTGTTATGAAAAATTTAAGAAAAAAATTATATTTTTAGCTACATTAATTATATTTTCTTAAAGGTAATTATATTCACACCACAATTTTTATAAGTTGCACCACATTTTAATTGCTCTTAAGGTCCTTAATCTTTGCTCATTAACACTTATGCCCTTAACGATTTTTCATGACATTTTTATCGTCAAACTTTTCATTAGTTAATACATTTTGTATTCGATAATAGTTTTATGTTCAAAAGTCCGTTGAAATGAGTTATTTATTTCCCTTTCATATTTTTAAAAGTTAAATAAATAAAAAGTGCGAACGAATATTTTTCTCACTTTAAAGTGTGAAAATAAAATATTTGTATATAAATCATCATCAATGATGAGACATATTAATTAATGGAAGGTTGAATATAAGAATTCAATGAAAAAAAAGTTAAATAAATAATTATTACGATGAGCAAAAATTAAAGAGCTTACCTATAATTAAAATATGATGTATCAATTAAAATTTGTGGTGGCAATATAATCGTAATTTTATTAATATGTGTGAAAATAGAATTAAGTGAGTGAGTATGTTTATTCATGGACCCAACCACGGGTGGAGAGGTGTCCGAGTTGCAATAGCAACACTGAATAAAAGCCCAATTATTAGAAGAATTATAAAAGAATATATAAAAATTTAGAAATTCAATCAATTATTAATTGAGAAAATTATGCCACACACCCTTTTTTTTTTAATAAATATGTAGAATATACTTTTCAACTTTTGTTTAACCATAAATACCTTTTTTATAGTAAAATAGAAATGTGAAAACTTAATCAAATTATATATGATATTTATTTAGTAGCTAAATTTACTCCAACAAACGTGTCCTTAATTTACGCTTCAACAAACACACCCTTGACATGACAAATTAATCACAAAATCTCCAAAATAGAGTCATTCGATCTTCCAACCCAAATATTTACCCCAGATCGTCTCTCTTCTCCCTACAATCACGCACCAAGAAATTATCAAAACCTAATAATCAAACACCAAACATTTTTTAAATGGATTTCAGATCGCATACACAAACACATAACCATCATGAAATAAGTTGAATATCGATTGAATATCAAGGCACAATTATGTTGTAACAAGAATGCAGAATTCAAATCTTTCACAAATGAAATCTATATCGATCGATATAGGAAGATTACGATGATTCAAAGTATGTTTTCTAACATAGTAATGTTGTTATTATATGATTGTATTTGGGTGATTAACTATCTTCATCTTTTTCTTTTTTTTTTAATTAAAATCTGTTTATGGAAGAGCATTTAATGAAAAGACGTGAAATGGGATGATTCAAAAATATATCAGTTACAAATTATGATTTTAATTTTGAAAACTAGTATTTTTAATCAACGTTCTCATGGCACATTAAGATGTGTGTTAGTATTTTATATCAAGGCATATATAATTTTTTCCGTTATTAATTAGCTGTATTGCTTTTGTAAATAAATTTACTTCATACTAATAGAAGATTAAAAAAAATGGGGTTCAAACGGGGGCAAAGAATCTCGGCACACTTATTTCCATGCATTACAAGTGCGTGATCCCTGAGTGAATTTCATATATACAAGTCATTCAGGGTCCCAAAACAAAATTATCAAACAATATTTTCTCCATTAGCAACTTATAATTCTGACAAAATGAAAGATATAACACCTATTCATCCGTTTGGGAAAAGGTTCTTGTGTGGCTTGACGTTAGGCGATCTATGTCTATATTACCGAGTGCATTGAAGTGGATGAAAAAGGAGGCTCAGGGAACTTCTTGGCAAAGTAAAGCTTAGAAAATTGCTCTTGCTAGTACAATTTACCACTTGTGGACGACATGGAATATGAGTATTTTTCAAAGATCTTAGAGCGCACGAAAATAGCATTGTTGGATGAATTAAAACACACTATCCGCATGTTTTTAATTCATTTTGAAGTTATAGCGCTCGGTCAGATCTACTCGTTTGTACATCTCACTTTGCTTACCCGGATATGCCCGAAGTACTTGTATATGTATGATCTTTGTTTGTCTGGATATGCCATGTGTACTTGTACATGATTTTTGATCTATATATTTCACATTTACCGATCCAAAAATAAAATAAAATAAAAGTTACACAAAACTTGCATACCCAAGACGATGGTGAGAACCAATATTATATTGATGTCCAAAGCTTTAGAATGGGGAAAAAATGCTACAAAAAGAAAAATGTACACACTTTAAAATCCCCAATCTCATTTACAATCTGTTTTAAGTACATTTCTACAGGTATCTTAGATATGCTACCAACCAATCTATGCTCATTGCTCATAATTTGGGCAAATAAATAAACCAGAGACCTAAAATCATGTCTGGTTTGATTACAATGCAATAATAACTATATAAATAGAGAGAATAATGACTACTTCATGAGCGACAACTTCCTTATCTTCTCTTTTCCACGGCAATGAATACGCAAGTTAAATAAATCAGATATATGTACGTACTTAGAGGGTGAAAGCAAGCAATTAAAGATGGCTAAACTAGTCAGAAAACCTTAAAAGACACATTTGGCATGGGATAAGGCTAGAAATACAGTAAACAACATTTATCTTCTTCTGTTTTCAATACTATCCAGCACTACTGTTTAGTCGACTTTATCAGACAAGATACAAGTCTCTAACAGCTAGAGCCTCGCGCATGTTAGACGTGTGACATAAAAACTTCTTCGATTTTCATCTTATTATTTCAAATAAAATTTTTATTTTCTTTTTATAATGTACAGGTAATGCTCTGACGTCATGTTTCCTTAACAATTTCTTCTTCGAGTACTACCAAACTATGAGCAGTTCATTGCGGATTGGGAATTGAATATATTGCAGTAGTAGAGTCTCAGCTGTAGTCCACAATCAGTAACTTCCAAGACCAACATACTGTCCTCATGGTGTTTGTTATTCCAATTTCGGTATGTAAATAATAGTTTTTTGGAGGGGTAACAAGTGAACCACAAAATTGCACATATAATATCAAAAATTACCTAAAGATCTTTACAAACAGCTCACAGACAGAGACGTGCGGAATAATGATAAATCCTTTTTAGTATTTAAATCCAAAACGAAAAGCTACACTTTTTTGTATGCAAATCTTATTTGGTTAGTTTCTAGGATTTTCAAAAATTCATTAGAACTTTGCAACTTGTGAAGGGGATAAACAGGAGGTGATCAACCAATTTTTTTTCCTGCACATATAGTCACACAAGTCTAAAATATTTCAGTGAACTGGATAATTTAAAATAAACATAACAATCATAATTTTTGGCAAATATATTGAAGCTCGTCCCAAGTCCTATGCCGCCATTGACATCCTATCTTTTTGGTTCATACTATCCAAGTGATTACTGTGATTTAAGTGTAAATTATATGAAACACTCTTTTAAAGGAGAGAAATTAAAAATTCAGCTGATCATGATGGCAGCGAACAGTCTATATGGTGCGAGAGATCTACCAACATAGGCTCTCAAGTACCGAAGGTAAAGTTGAATCACAACATGGATCTGGAATTGCAAAATAACAAGCATCAAATGTAAAGACAGTCCACAACACACGACCTTGAAGAACATAATAAATTATAAACATCCCAAAATATGAACATTTAGCTAAGAAAACAAAGTTACCTTTCAGGAAATGAGGGTAATAACTCATCAATGGCCTGAACAATAATTGAACCAAGGACATCATCCTTAGAAGAGGCCATTTGGTTTCTTGAGACTGTAAATATAGAAAATGCATCAGAAGCTGTTTGTCAGCTAACAATTCATGCTAGTTCTCTTGCCAATGTACAAGGAAAAGAAATAATAAAATAGAACGAGGATTGATTGATAGAAGACACTGGCAACGTCTATTTGATTAATGATTAGTTATACTGTTCATTCACGAGGATTTATAGGTAACAATTGACAAATAAATTAATTAATAAAATACAGCAAACGGAATGATAGACAGTGGAAAGCACAAATAAATATGTACACATTTTTTCTCAATCAGGTTTCTTCTAATTGTTAAAAAAGATGTACAACCAGTGCAGTTTGACAAGAAAGTGAGGAAAACTAACAAGGACAAATTTGGATGTCGGATGGCTCCCATGTGCAGTCATTTAGAACCTTGAGCTGTTCACATTCATTCCTAACAAAAGTGTCTTATTTCAGTTTAACAAGTTACTGAATTTATTTATTAGTAGGCTGCAATGCTAGGCTATCAGCTTTTGGATTTAAGCGCTAGCCTTATTACGTTACCCTGGCCAAGTTTTTTTATGATTAGTCCAAAATCAAAATCTTTAGAGGGGACCAATTTTGGGACGCAAGTTTAATTATGGTTTTAATGCGAGTCCTCAACATGCTTTAGACATCTAATGAAGAAATAATTCACCTTTTTCTTAATAATGCCATGCATCTGCTTCATTTGAAGGGTCGTCTAAGAAACCAAGGTCCAATCCTATGTATCTCAATTCTTCTCCCTCTTAATTTTCCTCCTCATAGTTTCTCAATTTTTGGCATAATCTCTGAAATCCGAAGCTCATACTCATTTCCTAGTCTCTTACAACTTCCCAAAAGCATACCATAATTCCCTCATGTAAACTATGCTTCTCAGTAAATCTTACTTTGGGCAAATCATTACAGGGAAAAGCCCACAAATCTTCGAGTTATTCTCTATCTTTTCTAAAAGACACCTTAACATGGTGACCGGTTACACAGGCACGTATCTGCTTTCTTTCCAGCAAAGGAGCCTGTAATTTAGACACATGAAGAACCCAAGTCCTCAGGCAACCAAACATACAATCTCATCAAGTTCAGACTCTTCATCGAATATAGAAAAGAATGAATCTTGAACTCCTTTTTGAGAACTTTAGAAGTTAAATCTTCCTAGATTTATCCTTGTTTAGAACACAGAATACAGTAACGGCACGCGGCAAGCCCAGAAACTATATACTTCATACTTTTCACCACATCATCAAATTTGCACACAGATAATAAGAGTAGTTCATTCTTTGAAAAAATCAGGTGAGCATAAATCAATATAGAAAAGCTGAAAACAAGAAGCTAATTGAAATCAGGTTAACTTATTAAGCACGATGAATAGAAGAGCAGGAAGGTATATGGTCTCCATACCTCCAGAATACTGAGGAACTGAAGCATGATTTCGGAGATATGATCTGTCACCATGGTACAAATCGAAGCCTTCAATCTTGGAGAATTCATCCAACATACAACCAATTAAATCATAGGCTACCATACTAGTTTTGTCACAAGCATCTTGGAACTCAAGGTATTGATTAACCACCTTGCTTTGGTTATTGACAATATTTGATTGTTCACCTGAGAAATTTTCAGAAAATTCATATTTGGGGATTTCTGCTGAGTTACTTGAAATTTCTTGACTTTCAGTTGCATTCCTATTTGAATTTTTATCAGGAGAGACAGGTGGAGTAGATACATTTTCCTCAGCTGTCAACAGCATATCAGTACAATCCATTCTCAATTTCCCAGTACTTCCCAATGGGCGCTGATTTCTATCCATGTTTTGCATGTCAACACACATCTTTGATTCTATACATGAAGGAGAATGTACAAGACAGAAAGATTCAACTGCATCGGCTTCATTAATATGCATAGACTCTCGAGTGGAATTTAATCTTTCATTATGTGAAAGCAATGGGGAACAGTTATCTGTTTCACTTGTAGAGGCAGGTGAATTTGTCCCCGCTAGGTTGGTCTCACCAATACTTTCCCTTTGGTTATCTGGATCATGAGAACGAAATCTATAAAGTTGAGGAAGACTCAACTCTTCTTCACTATCATCATCGGAAGTAGTGGCCATTTCACTTTCTTCTGAATCCTCCATGTAAGCTTCGGCAAAATCTTGGTCAAGTCTATTTTCAGAAAGCAAGTCCCAGACAATTTGTTTTGCCTGAGCACTAATAATTAATATATGCTCTACCTCATTTTTAATCTCCTCCTTCATTAGTTCTTGAGAAGATGAATGTACTTTTGAAGACAGACGTTTTCTTCGAGACGGAAGTTGAGATCTTCTATTGATAATGGAAAGAGTTTCGAGTAAATAATCTGGGACATTGTCCATATCACTGCACTCAAAAAGATAATCAGTCAATAGATTCCTTACTGCCATGCGCAAGCTTCTCTCTGATAATTCAGTACTAGGATCCAGCAAAAACTGTATTTTCTTAAGTTCAATCAAGCTCACTCTCTTTACATCATTTAGTAACCAGATAGCCTTTGCAATATCATTTTGCAATGCTTCTGTCTCTGGTGAAAATTTACGGAAGTCTATTACAGAAGGAGTGTTATGTATTAGCTTTAATGTCAAGCCTGCAACTGCCAATGCACCAACTAATGGTTCTGGGGTCTCCTCCCCTTCACTGAGTTCCAAGAGCATCTTCATGCACCTTTTTCTCACAGCACTGATTAAACTGTCACGTCTCCATCCAGATTTAGGAGACTGCATATTAGGGATGTATCTAACACCTCTCAGTTTCCTATGCATTGCACTCAGTGTTCTGAAAGGCATGTCCTCGAGTCCATCCAGTACCTTGATGGCAGCAGAGCGATAGGATTTCAATCGAGAAGACAAAGCCACCTGATTGATACAAAAGTTTTTTGGGTCTTCCAGCAACTGACATAATAGTTTCAATTTTGTTTGGGAATTATCATTATTTTCCCCAGAACACGTTTTAAGATAATCTTTTATCATCCTCTTCATTCTCCAGTTGGTTTTCTCAAACTTAATCATTCCACCTGTCAGAATCTCAAGAAATGAACATAAGCCTCTGTTGGTCATATCATCTAGCAGGTGATAAAACTCTTTATAATCATTATACAAATCAAAATTTTGCATATACTCTTGAACCACCTGATGTTCCATTTCACACTTACAAGCACCAAAACCCTTTTCAACAAAAGTTCTGATGTTCTCATAGCATACCTGTGATTATAATAGATTTGAACATAAGATAAGACAGACAAACCTCAAACAAACAAACACACACACACAATCCACTCTTCTGCCCCCAAGGAGAAGAAAAAAAAGGAAGAGAAGGAATCAGACATGCACGTGTGTAAAACTAAATCACTATTTTCTTGATAAGAACAAAACTAAATCATCCTACTGATTGCTGATTTATGGAGAGTAAAGAAGTAAAAACGTTGGGCATAATTGTATGTCTACCATGTCACAACATACTACACAAAAGATTATTTTATTAATGGTTTCTCTCTAAATGGACCTATAATCAGAAAGGTACAAAATTATTGAACGCTTGCATACTTGAAGTCACACAAAATACAGTAACATAGTGGACAATGACTGATCTGCCATGTAAAACCTTATCGTGTGACAACAGGAATACATATTAATTACACAGCACAATTTATAAGGAGTATAGTCCTACCAATCTTAATGCCAAAAGAACATTTGGTGTACAACGCTGAATACATCAATAATGCAAGGACAAAAACAATGATCACACAAACTTATAGCATTTCTCAAAACCATTTCATGACTCATGAGCAATATAATTTAGCATATTCCAAAACTTACATCGTCTTCCCTAAGCAGTGACTCAGGCAGAATCCTGCAAATTCAAATAAAATTTAAAATGAACTTCCTGAAAAATCATTATAACAGTAAAAAATATATCAAACTACACCTGCGAAAAAGGAAGAGAGTACACACACATGCTAACATAAAAGTAGGATCAGAAACAGTCAACACTCTTGATTCGTGGTCAATGCTATACCTTGTCACATGAACTAAGATATTGTGAAAGGATATGCATGTTTTTCCGAGTGTAGAACTCATTAAAACCATTTAGGATGTTGGACTCCTAAGAATCGTCTAAAATAATTGGATATATGCGCCATGACATACCTTGAAAATTGACATTATAAAGTATGGTGTAAAATCTTTACCAAATAAGAGAACACTACATAATCTTGCTGATTAAGACGACATTTCACTAATAATAAACTAACAATGTATTTTTAGCATTAAAAGGTAGATTATAAGTACAGAACTTATGCCCTCTAAAATGCACTTAATTAATAGCATCTATCTGGCAAAAAAAAAATGTTTTCTAAATAATAAATCAACCAAAGTAAAAAAATCCTCTCAAATGCCAAATTAAAGATGAAAATGATAAGTTTGCAAAAGGAATTATACTAAACAACAGGTACATACTTGTCATTGGGAGGTAGGAGTTCTTCTATTTGTTGTTGTTCCCTTTTGGACAAGGGTAAGTCCATTAACCACCTGAGCAGTAGTTTTTGGAATTTTTCATAAACAGGTTTTATTAAAATAAACTAATAAATTAAATTAAAACAAGAAAAAGAAGGAAGAGAACATCACCTTCGTTTGAGCCTAAGGAGATTCTCCTGTTCCTTAATTTGAGATGCTATGGTCTTGAAATCGTCTTTGTACCACTCGTGTTTAATTGCTTCTTCAAAATGCTCCTCCATTCTCTGTGTTTCTTTTCTCTCTTCCTCCTTGTGAGTATGTCGGATAGAGACACGGGGTTTAGAAGGGTGGCCTGCATTGGCCAGGTAAAGGTTAAGAATTAAGTCTATGAAAAAGGTGAAACAAACAGAAGCCTTTCTGAAAGTTAAAGTTAAGAAATTGGTTTCAGAAAGCTAGAGCAAGCTCAAGTGCAAGCTGCTGACCAAGTGAACCAAAATGAAGGAAAAAATGCATTCAGCCACAGCAACGCTATTCTAATGTAAATGTACATAATCAGTACAACTGGTGACAAGAGTGCTTGCAGCACAGGAATCCGAGATGAGTCTATGGTGCAGCTTAATGTTGACGAAGGACGAAAGGATTAGATTACATAGGAAACAAAACCGATAAAATATAACAACCAAATGCAAAGTCGCAGAAATTATTGTTTTAAGCAGAAAGAAAACTACCCTAAGCTAGGCAAATGACATAATGAACCTGTTAGTCTGTTTTTTTTTTTTTTTGATAACCGTGGATGTCCGCCAACTACCACGCACCTCGACTAATCCCCACGGCCATGAAGTTTACGGCCAGGTACTCACCTCAGTGGCCATGAGAAGACTCGAACCTGTTAGTTTGTTAGGGCCATTATTTATTGAAGACATAATTAAAGGACTGAGTATACAGAAAGCAAAATAAACAGAAGACAGATATTCAACCCCAGATTCCCCCACACGCACATCCGTGTGCTTCCTAGTCGTTGATCTTCAAGTGGTCACACCTCACATAAAAGTCCCAGCTTTTGTCACTACATCAGTCTATTTCAATTTCACCTATTTAAACAGTATATTCTCTTTATCTTATGAAATTTTCTAATATAAGCGTTAATGTATCTTTACCCGATATTAAAGTTCAAATTCTATATCTTAACGGGAAAAGAATGTACCAATAGCAATGAAAAAATTGCACCATTACAATAACCCTTGTTTGCAACATAAAATATCAAATAAAGAACTATTGGAACAAGGGGTGGAGCCAAGATTCAACCACTTAGGGAGCTAGGATAAATTTATTCTATGCGAACTTCGACAATACATATTTAAAAGCAAAACACCATGTTTTTCTTGTTTTTGTCATACCGTTGTTCTGGGGAGAATTATAGTTGTAGCCGGAACCAGTAGGAGGCGACAAGGGTTTCCAACACTGAAGGAACGCCAGATAATTGTAAGCGGCAAGTACAGAACCAGAGGAACGATTGTTGGGATGATTCCAGATGAGCTGAATTTGGGGAGAGAGAAGGACGTTGGAGAATTTTGGAGTATTGTGGGGAGGGTTTTATTTTAAATTTTTCTGGCATGGTGTAATCTGGAAAAAAAAAAACAAAAAGGATAAATAAATAAATAAAATTGATTTTTTGAATAATTTTTTTTAAAGTATTAACTGTCAAAGGTCAAAGAAAATACTCGACAAATTCACTTTTTTATTCTTATCTTATAATTATTATAATTAATAAGTTATAAATTTTATTCATAATTATTCACATTATGTTTGAAATTAACATATAAAAAAATAAGTTAAATAAAAAATAAAAAGAAATTATAAATATTTCTTTAAAAAACAAAATTAAGAGTAGTATTGTTGAAGTGTATAATTTTTTTTTCTTTAAATTAAAAGATGTTCTATATTTATATAGAGACTATTAAATACTTAAAAGTAAAATATTTAAATGTGTTATAAAATAGAAAGGGAAAAAAATGTTAATTAACAGTAAATTTTAATTTGTTTGCATTAAATTGTTTTCCGATTTTATTTTTTAATCATTTAGGCATCATATGAAGATAAAGCATAACATCGTCTTGCTAGTTTACACTACTCACATAGCATAACATCGTCTTGCTAGTTTTTTCTTATTTTTTAACCACACATTTTTCAAAAAAAATGCATTTTAAACAAAAAAATAAGACTCAAACAGGATCAATCTCATAAAATATGGAGTTGAAAGGTCGTGGAACCATATCCATAAAACAATTTTAGCCCGTCTATGTTTCAGGCAGCTATAGGTCCACAGGCATGGCAACGCACAGCTCGGCCCAGCCCGTGCCTATAGTGCACATGCCGATCCAAGGACCCCTGTGTTCACTCTTGTAGCAATGTCCGGTTATGAAATCACATATTCTTGATCCAAACACAGGTTAAATTAGAATTAGCACAAAAATTCAGGAAAATTGAAAATTCATGTAATGTCCCACAAAGTTCAATACCTAATCTTTCTTAACCTTGTAAAAAGTGAAGACTAAAACCAAGAAACGGCATTCAGATGGCTCTTACCACTGCCCATTGAGCAGAGTTGGGTTCACAAAACTCAAATTGCTCAATCCTCCACGCTCCCAATACAAACAAGGACAGATTACAGCATCTGAAAACCATACACAACCACCAAAATGTCCTGAAACAAAATTGAAAAAACAAAAAAAACCTTTGATACAAATAGTAAAAAAATATTCCTTCTGTCCACAATCTTCTTCACTTGGCACCTTTCTTGGCAGCGGCCTTAGTGACCTTAGCACCACTTGGATCCTTCTTATCTACACTCTTGATGACACCAACAGCCACAGTTTGACGCATGTCCCTCACAGCAAAACGACCAAGAGGTGGGTATTCGGAGAAAGTCTCAACCACCATGGGCTTGGTCGGAATCATCTTAACAAAAGCAGCATCACCATTCTTCAAGAACTTGGGCTCCTTCTCGAGCTCCTTACCAGATCGTCTGTCGATCTTGGTGATAAGCTCTGCAAACTTCACAGCAATATGGGAGGTGTGGCAGTCAAGAACTGGGGCATACCCATTTCCGATTTGTCCAGGGTGGTTCATAATAATGACCTGGGAGGTGAAATTGGCAGCACCCTTTGCAGGATCATCCTTGGAGTTGGAGGCAACATAACCACGTTTGAGATCCTTAACAGCAACATTCTTGACATTGAACCCCACATTATCACCAGGTAGAGCCTCCTGGAGGGCTTCATGGTGCATTTCAACCGACTTAACTTCAGTTGTCAATCCAGAGGGACCAAAGGTGACAACCATACCAGGCTTGATAATACCTGTCTCCACTCGACCCACAGGAACAGTACCAATACCACCAATCTTGTAAACATCCTGAAGCGGGAGACGAAGGGGCTTGTCAGAAGGCCTCTTGGGCTCCTGAAGCAAATCAAGAGCCTCGAGGAGAGTCGGGCCCTTGTACCAGTCAAGGTTGGCAGACCTTTCAATCATGTTGTCCCCTTCAAAACCAGAGATGGGGACAAATGGGATTTTCTCTGGGTTGTATCCCACCTTCTTGAGATAGGAAGAGACTTCTTTTATAATTTCGTCATACCTTGCCTTGGAGTATTTTGGTGTGGTAGCATCCATCTGTATAATGCAAATTCATATGGTTTATTTTTTATACAACTAAAAAATATTACTAAATTCTTCATGTAATAACAATTTTATGTACACAGAAAGTTAAACCACTGAAGTGGCTCACCTTGTTGCAACAGCAAATCATTTGCTTGACACCGAGGGTGAAGGCGAGCAAAGCATGCTCACGGGTCTGGCCATCCTTGGAAATACCAGCTTCAAAACCTCCGGTCGTGGAATCAATGATGAGGACAGCACAGTCAGCCTGTGAGGTACCAGTAATCATATTCTTGATGAAGTCCCGATGTCCTGGAGCATCAATGACAGTGCAGTAGTATTTTGTGGTCTCAAACTTCCACAAGGCAATATCAATGGTAATACCACGCTCACGTTCAGCTTTGAGCTTGTCAAGCACCCAGGCATACTTGAAAGACCTCTTGTTCATCTCAGCAGCCTCCTTCTCGAATCTTTCAATGACACGCTTATCAATACCACCGAGCTTGTAGATCAAGTGACCAGTGGTGGTCGACTTTCCAGAGTCAACATGGCCAATGACCACAATGTTGATGTGAATCTTCTCTTTACCCATATTGAACTTTTAAAAACAAAGCTACTACAAAAAATAAAAGGCGTTGTCAGTACAACATGTTTGCAAAATAAAAACTGAAGAAAACAAAATTAACATGTTTGCAAAAATAAACAAAATTGCTACACTTTCACCTCCCTTTACAACCTTACTTACCAAATTTACACTTGGTACAATCTCGCACCACATTTCACATCTCTCACATTTCATTCAAACGTTATAAAACTGCCACATCATCCATCCCTCGACCAAGTGATGAAGGGAGATGTACAAATAGCTTTATCCAAAAATCAATAGGATCCAATAAATATCATATGAATTTTTTTGGATTATTTACCATTTAAAAAAAAAAAACTATGATATTCCACAATAACTATAATGAACTAAAAGACAAAAGAATAGTCCGCAACAATTAAACTCTATAAAGAATCAAATCATATAAACATTAGAATGCGTTAGAAACATCCTTCAAAAAGATGCTTTAAAAATGTAAAAAAAACAAAAATATAAAAATATAAACATTAGAAATAATCTTAAAAAACATGGAAAGTGGAAAATTATAGATGCTACAGATCTAAAATCTAAAGCGTCTATAGTTTTAAGGTGCTTGAAATCCGTCTACATTAACACTGACATCGAATCAGAGCATTTATATACACTTCAAATACAGAATTATAAGTAAAACAAGTATCATTTACAAAATTGGTTATGATATTTGATTAAACAGCTGATCGTGACTACAAATTACATACAAAAATGAGATTATCTAGCATAAAGGCTGATTTTGCAAAAATTTTAAAAAAAAATTATCATAACACTAAACAGATCTATCAACAAAAAGTACAATTCTATATATAGACATAAAATAATACACAGAAAGATATATTACAGTGATACTAACCTTCGGAAGAAGACTACCGGTAGCTCTCTCGCTCACCGATTACAGAGATTTATGCTATAAGCGAGAGAGAGTGAGAAAAATAGAGTCCAATTGAGAGGTTATAGATGGAGTTCAGAACTGAGGTATTATTAGGGTTTTCCTGGACCGTTGAGTCAGGTAATCTAACGGCCAGTAGATGCCCAGTGTTCCACTCAGCGCAGTCATTTCCTTTTTCAACCTTTTCCTATCTTTCCCTTTTCTACCTTTCATTAATTTCCTTTTTCTACGAGTGTAGTAATAATAACCAAGGACAATTTGATGTTGATTTTTGGATAAGATCATGTAAAAATTGATTTTGTTGAAAATGTGCAGTTAAAAAGTAAGGGCTGATTATGAATTTACGATAAAATTATTTTATTACAACAATGTATTATGGAAGGCGAATTTGAAGGAATTATACAAACTGAATATAATATAAAATCGAATTTGAAGTAATTGAAGTTTGTAAATGTTTGATATTCGTGATTTTCTATTTAAAATGCTTTGAATACTCTTGACATGACTATTTAACCCACTGGATTAAAATCGAATTTTTAGTAAATTTTGATAAAAGTTAATGAGTTATGTGGTTAAAATTAATTGTTGACTTTAATTTAAATTAAAATCTAAATTTTAATCAATACCAAACATGATATAAGTAGTACTTCTCTGCTAAAATAATTCCAAATAGGGTAATTAGCACATAACGTCTCCACCTTTCATTATTATTATGGAAAATGTCTATACCTTTTTTTTTATATATATATTTTTACCCCTATTTTACCTTCTATTGCGCAAAATGTCATTTTTATTTATTTTCTCAATTAAAAATTGTGAAATGATGAATATACCATTCTCTTTAAATAAATATAAAAAAATTAATTATAACCATAGTCACAACTATTTTAAAAAGCACAAATTAGTCCCTAATAAATTATGAAGATGGTAATTAGTATATAATGTCCATACCTTTCACCATTGATGCAACATCCTTAAATCATTCTGAAATTATTGCAATTTATACAAGTAGGCCGAGAATGTGTATGGTTGAGGAATGTGACTCGTCATATTCAAGCATCATGCTGAATAACTTTAACTAAAAATAGTCCAACAATTTTGTATGAAGACAATGCAGCTTATGTTGCACATCTCAAAGGAAACTATATCAAAGATGACACGACAAAGCATATTTTTTCAAAATTCTTNCCTGGTTTCGAATTATGGTGTCGTTAGAAGGGTTTTACACTATTTTGATTTTATTTTTACACCTTTTCGTGCATGGTAATTGTAATTCTATATATATTGGTGGTTTTCATGATTGAAAATATATAACAAACATCAAATTCATTCATCAACATTCAAAATCAAAGATCAAACCCAGTTTTTTATTTTGTTTTTCAAAGTTCCTTTTCCAAATTTTGATTGCTTGATTCATACTTGGATTAAGATTTGTTTACTCGTGCAAATTATTTGCCATTGAAACTTTAAGCATTTACCCCGATGGCGGCAAATATTGTTTGAGGAAAATAATTCATAATCATATTCAAACCTTCCATTTGAAAATTTCTTGTTGCTTGTTTTAGGGCGTATTCGATAGAAATTAAAATCGGATTAAAATTGAAAAATTAGCCGTTATTGTTGACTTTTATTAGACGAGTGAGACCCAATAACGGCTATATTTTCAATTTTAATTGGATTTTAATCACTCCCAAACGGGGCCGTAGTTAAAAAGTAATGGCTGATTATGAATTTACGATAAAATTATTTTATTACAACAATGTATTATGGAAGGCGAATTTGAAGGAATTATACAAACTGAATATAATATAAAGTAATTGAAGTTTATAAATGTTTGATATTCGTGATTTTCTATTTAAAATGCTTTGAATACTCTTGACATGACTATTTAACCCACTTGGATTAAGATCGAATTTTTTGTAAATTTTGATAAAATTTAATGAGTTATGTTGTTAAAATTAATTGTTGACTTTAATTTAAATTAAAATCTAGATTTTAATCAATACCAAACATGATATAAGTCGTACTTCTCCGCTAAAATAATTTCAAATAGGGTAATTAGCACATAACGTCCCCACCTTTCATTATTATTATGGAAAATGTCTAGACCTTTTTTTTTATATATATATTTTTACCCCTATTTTACCTTCTATTGCGCAAAATGTCATTTTCATTTATTTTCTCAATTAAAAATTGTGAAATGATGAATATACCATTCTCTTTAAATAAATATAAAAAAAATTAATTATAACCATAGTCACAACTATTTTAAAAAGCACAAATTAGTCCCTAATAAATTATGAAGATGGTAATTAGTATATAATGTCCCATGGAAAGTGGTAACTACGTTGTAGCTTAAATCATTCTGAAATTATTGCAATTTATACAAGTAGGCCGAGAATGTGTATGGTTGAGGAATGTGACTCGTCATATTCAAGCATCATGCTGAATAACTTTAACTAAAAATAGTCCAACAATTTTATATGAAGACAATGCAGCTTATGTTGCACAGCTCAAAGGAAACTATATCAAAGATGACAGGACAAAGCATATTTTTTCAAAATTCTTTCGTACACATGAGCTTCAAAAAAATGGCGACATCGATGTTCAATAAATTCATTTAAGTGATAACGTGGTTGATTTATTTATAAAAGCACGTCAACATCTACATTCAATAAATTGGTTCACAAGATTGGAATGTGTCAACTTAAATATTTTCAGCGATAAACATAGGGGGTGGTAGTTGTACTCTTTCTCCTTCGCTTAGGATTTATTCTACTAGGTTTCCTATCAAAAATTTAATGATGCGACATTTATTTTTAATACTCCAAAATAATCGTACTCTTTTTTCTTCGTTTGATATTTTTGTCCTATTGATTTTTTATCAAACAAGATTTTAATGAAATAGATATTTTGTAATGTGTCATTGAATGGAAAGTGTTGTAAATGCTAAGTTTATTAGGGTGTGTTTGATTGCATTGGTGGAAAATGTGTGGGAAGAAAATATTTTATAGGGAAAAGATTTGCCTAAAAAATGTTTTGCAGGGAAAATGATTTCAAGTGTGCTTGATTGGTATAATTTTCCACCCGAAATTTTTTTGAAATTTTAAATTTTTTTTGTTCATATTTGGCTTTATTTT